GTAGTGGAAGATGCCTTTTTTCTTTGTCAAATAGAGCAGATTATTTTGCAATTCGACGTCGAATGAACCCAGTGGTGCTGCGTAGCAGAGCCACATAACTGTGCTCTTCTACAGGTAGTCGATGTAGATTCCAAAATATGGTGTCATCACCTATCCAACCTATAGAAGGCAAAGACCGCGCCTTCTTCAGAGTAAATTCGCCTAGAGAAGTTCCCGATTCCGATTGTTTCATAATTTTTGCTGCGTAGCAGTGAACCAAATGTCAGATTCCACTTCTGGTACGTACTGGGCAAACGTGGCAAACATAGCGCCGATATTTTTATCATGCCTGATATTTCATATAGGATATTACCCACGTAGTCTTTTCAGAGCCTACTCTCATAACGCCATACTGAAGCAGCTAAATTTAAATAAATTTGACTATAGACAGTATACTCAAATATCCGGTTATCAAAATCGGCCATGCGCTAAAACCAGGCCGGTCTTATAACATTACCGAAGCTGCAGGCTAGAAGGGAATAAGGAAACTGTTTCCCACTTTCTCTGTAAATGCCAGCTTTATCACAAGCCCGACACAGAATACAAGGAACACATCAGGCACCAAACCTTTAATGGCTGTATTCAATTGAGAGCACTAAATGATTTTAGCGTAACGATGAAACGAGATAGCAACATAAGAAAGCTCTTACGATAATAAATGTAAATGGAGCATTCTACGCTCTTACCTACCTACCTATTATTTCAGATATCTCGTGTACCGTGAACCGACTATGTGCGAATACGCTATTTCGGAGCCCCATGTGCGCCCACGTTGAGACTAGTTAAACGAATTTTTGACGGTCGCGATCCAATAAGAAAAGTCAACATTTTAGCATACAAGAGATTTTTGAAACTACGAATCCTAATAATGGTTCTAGGGGAATTGTTAACTTAAAAATGTTTACTTGACATTAACGTATTCTGATTGTGGAAGTGTTGATAAAGAGGTTATCCTGGAAGTGGGTGTTTTCGGTCGAACATTTTTATTTTTTTAATTTTCCGATTCCAGTTCAAGCTCATGGTGATGAAGCTCACTGTAAATTATGTATACTATTTTAGATAATCGGATTTGATTGGCATACCACGATAATCGTATAAGGGATTAGGGTTTCAAAACGAATAAATCTTTATACAAATCGAAGAAACAATTTTTGAATCGCTTTCTGGAATGTTAATCTTTATGATGATCTTTCGCTGATCGCAGAGCACTTCAAATGAGAACGTACTAGAGATGTATCACCATGACAGGTTACGGTTGAGTTGAGTACTTATTAAATTATACACATGTTACTTAATGACAGTTTGGTGTCAAGACAAATTGTGGTTTTAACTAAAAAAGTATATTTATGTATTGCACTTTTCTACTTAAAGTTTCAAAGGCATGAGCTTTCATTTCACACCTTTACTTCCCACTTCTAAAATGCAACTGTATATGAACAACCGTTCGATTTTAAGCTTTCATTATTTACAGAACATTTTTTTTATTAAATCACTTCTCTAAACAGTCGTATGCTCCAAATAAAATAAAGTGGAAACAAAAAAGTATAAAATTAACAATAAAATAAAGTCAAGGTCATTTCAGATAATATTCAGAGTTCTATAACGCTCCACAAGTTAATACATGATACAAGTATATAGATACAATACCATTTATATATTTCAGCACTGGAGGTTCTTCACTCGTCTGACTGCTTCGATTTGTTCTTTCATTGTGTATATAGCTGCTATTGTATTTGTTTCGCATAAATTACTCATTTGGTGAATACACTCAAACCTCTTCCTTTATACAATTTTTATTATTTTCTTTTTCGGTTGAATTAGTTACGACAATCTCAAACTCAATCAGAAGCGTGAGAAAGTTAATTGGAAAGTTTGTTGGTAACTAATTTGCAACATTCTTTTATGAAGTGATGAATTGCTTCTGGATTGACTCAACGACGCAGGAAAAGGAAACAATTTATGACTTTGATGTAGAAGCGTCCGGTTTTCTTAGTTACGAATTAAATGAATGGTATAGAATCAAAGTAAAAAGTTTTCAAAAATAACTACAAATTATATTATATCGTAGTGCGATGATCTAATCATATATATCCGTTATTTCTCATTTCGTCTCTAATTATTTTCTTATGGTTTTTGCTTTTGTTGTTCAAAATATAAATCATTTCGAAACTACGTTACTGAAGTAAAATAAAGTTCTTGAGTAGTGTGCGCTTCTCTTCTGTTCACATTAGTTCTATAAATTGTTTTTCCTAATTCATTTCATAACCAGCAGTTGTAAGCCTTAATTGGAGACTTTTCAATTTTAAATGGCAACTCTATTCGCAAATATGTATGTATATCAAAATTGCAGAAAGTTTACAGTTTACTAAACGTTTGATAATCGTATCGATCTTTTAGTGGATTACCGGAGTATGAGCAACTCAACTCCTCATAACTAACATACTAACTTGTAACTAACTAACTTGTGGGGATGCGAGTGAAATATCGATATACATAAATTGTAGCGAAGAGTACACCTTTTCTAACTGTACATTGTGTTCAGAAAGTTTCCGGAAATTGTAAATAAAACAAAAAATTTTTAATCTTCCTCAATATTTATTTTGTCGCCCTCAAAATATGCTACTTCTGAAAAGATACACATGTGCCCCACTTTTTCCAATCATCGAAACATGCCTTGTAGAAGCTGTGGCCCCAATCGAGTGGAAACGGGTTCCACGGATTGGTAACTTGATTTTTGGAAACAAATAAAAAAAAAATCGAATGGGGCCAAATCCGGTAAATACGGTGGCTGATTGATTGTACTGAACGAGTTTTTGGTTTTAAAATTGTACACAACCACAGATCGGTGCGGTCTTTTTGCAAAAAATTCAGCTCTTTTTGAACAAGCCGAGCATTGACGCGTCTTATGTCTAAGTTATCGTTCAAATCAAACGAGCTGCTTCATGGCCGATGTTTAGCTTACCTGCTGTTTCTCTAACACTTGCATGACGATTTTTGTCGAAGCTCGACCGGAACGAGGCATGTCATCGACGGTTTCTCGACCATCCTTTGTACCAGTCGTATACTTAGGTTTTCGATAGAATAGCTTCAGCATAAGCCTTTTTTAACAATCGCAATGATTCCCCACACGAAATTTGCTTCGAAACACTTGTTCAATATTTTTTTACACTATAAAAATCACAACCGACTACTGAGGTCGAAAAGCTGCTGCAAACAAACTTGTTGACAGATCGCGCTAATTTTTGGCAAAGTAAATAAGGACAGTGCTACTGCTACCCAATTAACAAAAAAAAGTGCTGAAAAATATTTAGCGCGGGCAGTATAAATAACAATTTCCGGAAACTTTCTTGTTACGATGTAAATGGTAAGTTATTATGCTGTTCGATAAGATACCTTATGTGCAACAAAATCAGAACGAGTTATCAGATGTTGTGGGCTGATTTTAACAACTTTTCGATTGTAGTGGACACATATTAGGATTTATTGTTGGGAAAGATTCTTTTTCGATGTATTTATTGACGAATTATGTAAAATAGTACTTTAAGGATTAATATTCTGTATACTTGCCTAATTGCATTCTGGTTTATAACTTTATTTTGAAGCTATATTATTATATATTATATTATTTATTTATTTTGAAGCTAATAGGTTGATGTTAAGTATAAATATACAATAAGTAATATATGGACTACATGTTTTTAAAAATAAAGGTTGTTTTTTGTGATATGTATTTTTCAAGAAGAAATAAATCGTATATACAATAATTTAATCTTATGGTCAATAATTGTATAAAAATAAGGGTTTGTCATTATAGTTTAAAAATGATTTCGAGAAAGTGAACGACGCGGCCGGCTCCAATAAATTCCATCCTATAGGCCCAATTTCTGATCACTTTTTGCAGCAATTGGGATCATATCGGGACCATCTTGGAGGTCACACATTATTTTGGTAATAAATTTGCACGATTTGCAAGTCGATTCATTATGAAAAGGCAAACCAAACTGAATATAAATCAAGACAGTTGTCAAAAAGACCAACTTCGAAAAAAGTATTGCTGCATAGCCCTTTATAAATGTAATGTAAGTAATATATGGACTTCATGTTTTTAAAAATATAAAATTGTTTTCGAGTGTAACAAAACAAGGTCCTAGTAAGTCCACTATGATACAAATTTTGTTTTGCAGGAAACGAAAGGCATGCAATTTCCCTAAAATCCTTTTTGGTAGACTTAAATTCCAAGTAGGCTTAGACTGATTGAATACAGGTTATGATCAGTTTCACCTTAAAGTGGAACGCATCTCAGCAGGCTCTATGCAGTGCTGTCTAATAATCGCTGCATTTATTACCTACCGCATTAAGTTTAAATACCAGTTTATCATTTGTTTGTTCACATATCTGAGATAATATATTAAATAAATAAACAAATAAACAGTTTTTTGATTGCTGCATTTTTCACAATTTCCCACCCTATTTGTTGACTTTAGAATTTGTACTTACGCTCTCTTTATGCGATTACGTTACCATATACTGGTACTAAATATATATATATGATGTATATGTGTACATAAATAGTGATATCTAAAGTTTTGAGTGCATGCCAATTATTCTGTTGAACACAGATTCAAATTCAGGTGTACATAATTCCTCAAAATATAGAACCAGTATTTTTCTAAAACCTGGATTTACATACTTTATTTTTATATGGTGGCATAAGGCTTCTACTGCACTTCATTTGTTGAATGAAAGTATTCATTCTTTCTCTGAACGAAACTATGAGCCACTTGGAATTACCAAGCACCAAAGCATTACGTATGCGCGAGAGGCAAACAAATAAGTTTCAAAGATGAGTAGAGTAGACTGCTGCATATTCCTAAATGGGGAACTTATCACTGTGCGAAGCTATAAAACTCATTCTTATCAAATTTATACTATTTACATACATACTAATTATACACTTTGCTGTTAGTTTTTTCTATGCGTTTAAATTTGGATTAGCGACAACTTCTAGCTAAAAACTTTCTAAACCTGACAGTTTTAAAATTAATTTGCAATGAAGCAAGTCACGCCAATTGTTCACGTTACACAATAATAACGGATTTTTCATGCACATGTTAGATTAATGAGTGTGTAAAGTTTTGAAGTTCACAGAATATTTAGATAACAAAAAGAGCACAAAATGCATGCAAAATCGAAATTGCCGATTTTTAATAAACGCTATCGCAGGCAAATTCTCGCCACCCTAACAGGTTAGTAATTATTTTAAGATAATATTTTACATTACAGTATTTAAATTAAAATTATTTAAATTTGGGGGAGTGGGTTTGAAATTTCTTATGCTTAGTTCTTAACGAATCCACCGTGCTCCTGATGAAGCTCATCATTACAAAAAGTTTTATTTGTGCAACCTCTGAAACGTCGTCCAGAAACCCTCGACCGATAGTTGCGATTCTAATCCTGTATAGAGCCTTCTTATAGATAGAAGATGTTTTACATTTTCCTCTTCTTCTACCTCCTGACAGCTTCTACAATAGTACAATAGTCATTGTAAGGTGCACCTAGTCTGCTGACATGTCTACCAATTAAACAGTGACCTGTTATCACTTCTACTAGAGTTCTTATGTCATTCCTTTTATATTTTAATAGTCGTCATGTGCGACCCATGTACCATTCATGCAACATTTGCCAGCTTGTTGAGCGACTGTCAGGATTTGACTCCACCGACACTCAGCTAAATTTATAACATGTTCATATCAACAGTTCTTGTTTTCTCCTTCCAGAGCATTTTATGACCTTTGCTCATGCGGCAGGTCTAGGTTGGCTCTCACCTACATTGAATATTCTCCAATCTCCTGCTTCGCCTCTGGATTTTTCAATCACTACTGAGGACGCTTCCTGGATTGGTTCTACTTTTGGGTTGGGTTTCATAGCAGGAAATGTGTTCTTTGGGCTCACACTGGATCGATTCGGTCGCAAGCTGAACATATATATTTTGGCGTTCCCGCATATGGTAAAATGAAGCATCATAACATGGAAAACTTAATAGAATGAAATACAATTCTTGTAGATTTTTTGGATACTCAATTACCTGGCGCAAAGTGTCGAATATTTGTATGTGGGTCGTTTTTGCGCTTAACTAATCCACTAGTTTAATTATTTTTAATCAGTTAATAGAGCTACGCTTTTCAATTTCTTCACCGCCGCCATTTTGTGCTTACTCAATCAGCTGTCTGGCAGTTTTGCCATTATCAATTACATGGCGAATGTATTTGCCGCATCCGGTTCAACCATCGACCCAAATATTAGCGCCATCGTGATGGGATTCGTACAAATACTGGGCTCGCTATCGGCCATGATGTTGGTCGAACGTTTCGGACGTCGACCTTTGCTTTTGTCATCGGCTGTCGGCATGATGGCTGGTATGTATGGTTTTGGTGCATTCGTGCAATTTACCGACGACGAAACGAAAGCCGCCTATAACTGGGTGCCAATCGTGTTCATGACGCTAGTGGTATTTACGGCTTCTTACGGAGTTTTTGGTATATTCTTCACTATTGTCGTAGAGATGCATCCGGCGAAGGTGAGTATCAGAGAAGACTGCAAATAGATTTATACAAAGTAATATATTTATATAAGAAATGATGTACACTTTTTAGATCCGGGTGCAGGCTTTATCGATTTGTATGCTATTTAACAGCGTATTGGTGTTTATAACATTGAAGCTGTATCCATTTTTCTTATTTAATTTGGGTATTACCGTTACAATGTATTCATGTGCAAGTGTTTGTGTGGCTGCTGGTACTTATCTGTATATTTTTCTGCCGGAAACGGCAAATCAATGGAGAAGGATTAGAAACTTTGATTGTGTGATTAGCTAATTTATAGTTGTACAACTTTTTAACTGTTATTTACGTTTATGTTAATGTTTCTTAAATTTAAATTAAGAATTCAATTTTTCTTTTTGTAAATTGTATATTTCGGAAATTTGACATACCAGCATATTGAAAAAAAACCCGTTGGGAAGCATCTAAAATTTGAAGAGAAAAAACGAAGAAATTTGGTGAGTTTTGTTTAAATTAAAGTTTTCAAAATGTAAAAAACCATCCAATATTTATTTTAAAATTACAGTAACTTATTAAATATAGTGAATATTTTCAATTTAAATTGTAGTTTTAACAAAAATCATAACTTTTAATACCTAAAACTAATCGAGATTGATATAGTATACACCACGTACCCAAATGGGAAGGATAACGAAACGAATTGAATTCCGGGTGACTGTCCGTCCGCCAGTGCACGCGGCAGTAAATAAAGAAGGATATTTTAATGAGACTTGATACACTAACTAAAGCACCAATTAAGGAACAAAATTCGGTGAAATTTCAAATCTCAGAAACTATCAATACGATTTTTTTCGAGAAAATCTTTTAAAGTTAATATGCTCATTTGTTTAAATGGGTAAAATCGGGTCAATGCTAGTGGAACAGCTCCCATAAACCTCTTTTTCAAACTTCCGACTGATTTTATACCGCAAATATTAGTCAAAATATGAGTTATCTTAAGAAAATTAAGTGAACGTATAACATTGGACACTTAAGCTATAGTTAATACCGAAAATGTTTGACATAAAAATGTCGCAAATAAATTCAATTATCTATATTCGACCTAATTGTAAGTGGGTTTCAATCATATTTGGCATTCTATTATCTAATACTATAAGGCATTTTGTGGGCATGTTAGTTGTCCGATTTTATCCATCTGCATTATCTAGCTCCTCAGAGTGAAAAGCAATCAATACTTGTACCAAACTGCATTACAATATCTCAATTTCTACTCAAGTACTGATCTACTCGTTCTGATCATTTTGATAACTACCTTCATCTGTTTCAGGTATTTAAGGCAACAAAAATAATATACTCTGTTGCAGCATGTTCCGAGAGCAGGATTGCGAATTTTTTTATTTAAAAATTAAATTTTCATTTTTTAATCCAAGATGTTTTAATTCTAAAATAAGTTAGTTTCTTAATTCTTAGTTATATGCTTGAGATTAAAATTTTTCTTTATAATTTTTCAATACGATAGTTGATTTTCAGGATTACATATGGATTATTATTATTATTTTTTTATCCCGTATTTGGGATAAAAAAAATGTAATTCAAAAGTTAATTCAATTATTTTTTAATGCATTAAATGAAACCCTCTGTGCGAGAGTGTAAAAATTTGAACATTAGTTTAAGCGCCATATAATTTCATTTCTTTTCATTTATAATATGTGTATTCCGTAATAATTGTAAATATTTTCGCTTTTTACTCGTCTAATAAATATGAGGTATTAAAGTAATTTACGTTTTATTTTATTATTTATACGGCTTAGGTCGTTTTAAGCTTATATACGTACTCGTATACATATATAAAATATATAACGGGTGATGCAAATAGAGGTACTCTTTTCAATAGCCGTTGAAAAGAATGTGTTTCGCGTGCTTCGCTCAACTTATGGTCAAAATAATCGGCCTACTGAGCGTACACCATTACTCATTTAAGACCCAGCGTTCATTATTGGATAATATTCGACCGAATAGACCACGTCCAGCATGTAGTGAAGAAAATATAGCTCCCGTAGCTGAGAGTGTCCACGTGAAGAGTTGATTCGGCGTCGTTCGCAGCGACTGAGCTATGGAACGAAGAACTGAAGCCGCTTGACCTTCCAAGCAACATCGCATCACTCTATGGGATCTTGAAAAGAGTTGTAAACAAGAAAAATTGTCGTATTTGGGAGGAAGAGCAAACTGAAGAGATTCAAAAGCTGCCATTTTATCCAGAAAAAAAAAGGGTTTTTTGAGGTTTCTGGGCCGGTGATATGATGATGACCGACTATTTGATGCCTGAAATTGAAGCTCGTGATTTCGGCGACCTTTATTTTCAATAAGACGGCGGCACTTCCCACACATCGCATCAATCAATGGATTTATTGAAAGAACTCTTCGGTGCGCAGATAACTTCACGTGTTGGGCCGGTCGATTGGTCATAAAGATCATGGGGATATGTAAAGTCTAAAGTCTATGCGGACAATACCGCTTCGATTCAGGCCTTGGAGCAAAACATCACGCGTGTCATTCGTCAATTACCAGTCGAAATGCTCGAACGAGTAATCGAAAATTGGATTCAATGGATGGACCATCTAAGACGTAGCCGCGGCCAAAGTTTAAAACAGATAATTTAAAAAAAATAAATTCTAAGGAATGTTCTTTTTAATGATAAATAACCTTCCCCATTAAATTTGAATTTTCTGTGTTTCTGTCTTTCAAAAATTAGGAAACCTCGAAATGGATTACCCTATATAATGGTAAAATTTTATTCGTTTTATATAGCTATTTCAAAGAAATCTAGATAAAGAGTACCGTTGTTGTCAGATCATAAATAACAACAACGTAAAAGTTTTGAAATAGACACCGTAATATGAAATTAACAGCCTAAAACACGCATAAAGTTACAGAAATACACACCCTTTTTCAGTATTCCTCAAAAATTACTATCATAGCTAATCACAACGTAGCTAATAATTCCTTAATTTTCTCGAAACTAGAGTGACTGATACAATAGACAGAGCTTAACTTCAAAAAGTTTAGAGCTGAATATAACTGTTAATGGCGAATGCTTGGGAAACTTGAAAATATGGAGAACCTGGGATAATTACGTGCCCGAGGGAAATAAATAAATAGAAAGCTCTCGATGCTTCCACACGAAAAGCCTTAGCGTTCTCTACAAAATTATATCAAAATGGCCACCCTATATCAGTTCCTCAAATGATTATAGCTCTTCGAAATTTATAACTATCATATTGTTGTAAAAATAGAAAGTTTTAAATATATTAATTGCGCTTTAATTACTAATACTATGCAAATTATGTCAGCCATGTTTGACAATAATTTTGATAATAATTACGCAGATAAACTAGTAATATATAGTTTATATCGCAAATACTATTACACTTATAATAAGTCCAGTTGTCTTTTGAATATTAAATGAGTGCACGTTTACTAGACGATACGAACAGGTCGTGAGCCACTCCGCTGGAATTGAAGTGAATTTGAAGATTCCAAGTATTTTTGTGCCTTTTTTAATATTCGCGGTTTGGATTTAACGACAGCATGCTGGAGAATAAATTGACAATTTTTAGAAAACAATATCGCATGCAAATATTAGGCGCACTCACGTGTAAGTTTAGAGAATTTAGCTGTAAAACTAGTATGTATTTTAATGAACAAAAGTATTCTATTGAACTGTGTTGGTTTTAACTAAATCAGAGATTTTGTCTGAAGTAGAATAATTAAAGGAATAAATGATCGTCTGAAGTGTACATTAAGGTGTCCCAAGGTTCTCGAAAATTGAATCGCACACCCTCTATTTTTTACTTCCACTTTAGTGACCCGTTCGAATTGGCTCCCGTTGGCGCTGCAAAAAAGGCTTATTTTAGGTTGGGCAATATCAAACAAACTGTCTAAGTTCCAGACAGGCACGGTTTATCGTAATCCTACTTTCACCAACTTCAGTTTTCAATTATTTCAAATAAATTAAACACATACCTCACAAAAAGAAACTTTTACTTTTTTGGGACACTTTAGTTTCGAATAAATGATTTTTAGACACACTTTCTGCTGATAAATGAGGTGGCTATGGTAAAAAGACATGATATTATATTTTAATTTTATTGGTTTGCTACTACTGGCTGAGCCTTACGTGGGCTTTTCCAGCATAGGTAAACTACTCAGATTTGCGCAGTCCAAATATCTTTTCCTTCTAAATCGCAAGAGGTCTAGTGCGCTCTCCTCTAGCTGTGGAGGTTTTAACTAGTCGATGTCCAAGTTGTCCATATGGTACGTTTAAAGTTGTCGAATTTATTTAAAAGAAGACGAATTCGAATTAAATCAACATTTCCTTCTTGACAATTCTGGCTTCGTAAGAACCTAGCTTATTAGTAATATATATTTGCTCAATTTTTATACCCTGAACAGGGTATGTTAACTTTGTCACGATGTTTGTAACACCCAGAAGGAAACTTCGGAGACCTTACAAAATATATACAAATTATTGGCATGACGAGTCATATCCGTCGCGCTGTATATATGGGAACTAGACCCGCAGTCTTGCACAAGTCCTTTTCTCTCCTAGAAGCGGCTCATTTGCCGAGAAACTTTTTATTTCCGACGAGATATCTTCATAAAATTTGGCTCGAATCGGTTCAACCTTCGAAACGGTTCAACCTTCGAAGAAGTTATAAAAATCGGACCACTTAGCATATTTTAACAAGTTCTTGTATAGAATATTTTGTATTTGTATAATAATATTTTTTGTTTTTATCATTTTGCATTTCAGTTCAAATTATGAATTTCGCACATGGTTTCGGCACGGGATGGTTGTCACCGATAGTACAAATTATACAATCACCTGAAACACCGTTAAGTTTTCCTGTTACCGTTGAACATATTTCCTGGATAGGTTCGATGTTTGGTTTTGGGTTTTTGTCTGGGAACATTCTGTTTGCGGTAACGATCAATCGCTTTCGACGCAAATTTAATTTGTATATTTTGGCTTTTCCACACATGGTAAGCGTAATAACTGAGGTATAAAGATTCTTTTTATTAACTTCGGGTTAAATTTATACTTCTCATTAGATTTTTTGGATACTGGCTTACTTTGCTGAAAATATCGACTATCTATATGTGGCACGCTTCTTAGCTGGTGTCACAGGTGGCGGGTTGTTCGTGATTGGACCGATTTTTCAGAGCGAAATTTTAAACAAAAAGTGAGGAGTGAAATGTAACAAAATTCTTAGTAGTTGGTTAACTTTTCGTTTTACGTTTATTACAGTATACGCGGCGCTATAATGTCGTTGGGTATGTTGTTCCTCAGTGGTGGCACTGTAATGGGTTTCATATTGCCAACAGTACTGAACTACCACGTAATACCCTGTATTGCGTTGCTCTTTCCAATTGTGTTTCTAATAGCTCTATATTTCTTTCCGGAGACACCACAAAGCCTGCTAAAAAGCAATAATCTCACAGAAGCCAAAGCTGCTTTTGATTTTTATAACGGCGTAGGAACTGAGAAAAGTCCGTCGTTCCGCTCAAGCGTAAATGCGTCGGAGCCAGTGCAAAATGAATTTGAAGAGCTAAGTACAAATATTTTAAAAGGCGACTCCAGCCAATCTGTCACAATGGATGACTTCCGTAAGTATTCGTGAAGCATACCTCCTAAACATCCCAGAAATATATGGTACTTAGATCTTACGTTTTTATAGTCACAAAATCTGCACTCAAGGCGTTTGCTAACGGCACTGTGCTGTGCATTCTTTACCAGTTATCGGGCTGCTTCGCTTTTCTCAACTACATGACCTCAATATTTGCCGCATCTGGTTCGGTAATGGATCCATACTTCTGCACAAATATTGTTGGCATCACACATATTATCGGTTGTTGCATTGCCACAGTATTAGCGGAGCATATTGGTAGAAGAGCGTTGTTGTTTTTCTCAACAATAGGCATGGCTGTGAGCATGTTCATCTTTGGCGTCTTCCTCCAGCTCGCAGACACCCGGTTGATGGAAATGTATTATTGGGCGCCACTTGTCTTCATGATGATTGTGATCTTTTTTACAGCTAGTGGACTTTTTGGCAGTTTCTACACTATTCTGGTTGAAGTTTTGCCGGTAAAGGTGAGTTCTATCTGGTAGAAATTTTGTTTCATGAAACATTTCTACTAATTGGTTATACATTAACGGTCGTGGTGGCGCAATAATTAGACAAGCGTACTACCTTACGTACGAGTATGTGTAAGACCGGTATGCGTTCCCAATTCCGACAGCGCCAACAGCGCTCTCCCGTGAGCAGGCAACAATCAAATTCCGAGCGTGTTTCAGTCATGAAAAATATTTTAATAAAATGTATAAGGCATACAGATGCCACATAAAATTAGTGTGCTCCGATATTGAATAGGATAAAGAGAATCCACAAATTTTAAACAGTGCAAAATAGATTAAGAAGCATACTAATTGGGATTTGAAAAATTGGCGAAGAATTTAGTTGAATTTACGTCTCACAATTTTTATCTGAATTTCATTTTAATAAGAAAATATTTTCTTTTTGCTGACTTTTCTCTTTTCTGCAGATTCGCACTCTAGCATTACCCATGGAAATGACTATATTCAGTTTGCTAGTAGTCATTATACTGAAAATATTTCCATATCTCTTATTTGAACTGGGAGTCTCCACTACCATGTACAGTTCAGCGACAATATGTGTGGTTACCACCATATATTTATATATATTTTTACCGGAAACGAAAGGCAAATCAATGGACGCAGAATAGAAAATAAGTTCAATTAATTTCATACATAGTCAAAGACTTTTTTACCATTTAAGTATTATATTTATCGAGTTAAGTACTGTCCGAAATATTTAATAAAATATGAAATTGTTTGCGAAATTTTTTTTTTACTTTTTATGTGATAAAAATGTACCGGTTCAAAATATTTTCAACGGTAATATATTATATTTAATTGTCTACGACATAGCGTGATGGCAAATCGCCTTAAGTGCATTTCAAAAAACAAAATCGCGATATCGTCAAAAATAAAAAAAATACTCTAATATCTCAGCAAAATTGCAAATTATTTGTCGCAACGCTGTAGTATGTAGTTGACATTCAAACTGATCAATCAAAGTGAAGTTCTTATAAGGAAAACTATGAAGAACATGTAAAGGATGCAGCCGAAGTTAACGTTCTTACTTGTTCTTTTCAGCGATTTGCACGAATTTGTTTTATTTTCGAGTAGCTTTTTAATATAATTGAAAAGTACTTTCTATTTGCTTCTTCATAGCTGTTTTTGATTGTTAAACTTAATATTTGATGGACTGAAGAATCATTTCCATAAGAGCACACTAGTCTCAACATTTTTATACTCTCGCAACATATTGTTACAGAGTATAATAGTTTTTTCACCTAACGGTTGTTTGTATCACATAAAACTAATCGAGTTAGATATAGGGTTATACATACATAAATGATCGGAATGAAGAGACGAGTTGAAATCCGGCTGACTGTCTGTCCGTCCGTCTGTGCAAGCTGTAACTTGAGTAAAAATTGAGATATCTTTATGAAACTTGGTACATATGTTTCTTGGTACCGTAAGAGAGTATGAAATGTTCGGGTTCACCCGAACTTAGAACTTCCTTACATGTTTATAGTAAAATTCTTACGAATTTATATCCAATTTAACATAATATTAAATTTGTTATACAGTTTGATAAATACCAGTATACATATATAATATATGGAGTAAATATGTCGAATAAGAGTATACTTTTGGAAAGTGTTTATGACAATCATCTAATTTGAAAGCTCTTTCATTGCCAGGTGCAACGACTGCCTTACCTGTCTATAATGATTGTTAAATGTTAAATACCATCACTCTACAGAGCTTAGAAATCAACATTAAAGACGTATAATATTGGAGTGTGTAACATTTTTTAAATATTATTTATGCTAATTAAACTCTAATAAGTAGTTTCTCGCGACATTTCAGTATTGACGAATAAAATAACAAACATCAATCTAAAAGATTTCTACTTTTAGTGATAAGAAGGGTAAACTTTTTCTTAACTATCAGCGAATAATGCCCAATGGCAGACTGCATTACTGTATGGTTAATTGAAATTAGTTTTTGCATACAGTTATGAAAAATAAACAAAATTTATCCCAAACTCTCTAATCATCACTATAATTCGCGCTCTAAGGCAAATAATGTCAGACGCAAGGTGTTATTTATAATTCCAAAGATAAACCACTTTGGCAGAGAATCGTGTTGTTGACAATTTTGTGTTGTAGTGGGAGATTTCATTAGTGTAGTGATAACCCGTGACAGGCGTACGTCGTCTCTGTGGTGGATTTTTCAATAAAATTTGAGATACTGTGAGAATTTCCATTTATCTCTAAATATTTTTATCTTTCTCACAAGAATCATAATAAAATATGTTAACAACGAAGTTACCACTGCTTGGTAAACGGTATCGCATGCAGATACTGGTGGCGCTAACATGTGAGTAAATATGAATTATTTTAATGCATTAAAAGTTTGTAGAATTAAAACACGTGAGTGTGGACTGAATCGAAAATTTCATGAGGTCTTTAAATCTGTTTGGCATAATATGAGGATTGTCGGTGACCTTCACTGCGATTGTTGCTGTTGTAATCGTAGAAAAAGCAGGATAAGACCTCAGTTCACCTAGACTCGGCTGTCGGAACGTAGCTCCATTTTGGTTTTCAGCGGATATTTTATAAGAGCGTAAAAAATGCCTGTAAGGCCCCCATCAGGCTCTTTCGAAACTTGTTGCGATAAGAAGGTCATTGGGCGAGAAATATGAGAAGTAGTTATGGAACAGCAAATCTAACTAAACTTGAAAAGTCCTATGCAAAAGTAAAGGTGAAGGATCATTAATCAAGGGTCATCATCATTTGGCGTGATATAAACTGAACGATCGGAGTAAAGTGCTTTGCAGGGCAAACCCTTTCAATAGACGAGATATTTTCACAAAATTAGGCATAGATTATTGTCTAAGGCAACAATGTGATCTCCGAAGAAATTGTTCAGATCAGATCACTCTAGCACATAACTGCCATACAAACTGAACGAACGGAAACAAGTGCTTGTATGGAACATTTGTATTTGTGAAGGGTATTATAGCTTCGGTGCAACCGACGTTAACGTTTTTTCTTGTTTATACTCTTGTAATTTGCAAAGATCAAAGCCGTCGAAATACCTTCGAACGTTAGTAAAACTTTATTTAAAAAGTTTTACGAAAGAATTCAACATCATTATTCGACGTAATCGTGAATGAATTACAATCAAATTTGGTATTTTTTTAAGTTATGTTCTCATTTAGTTTTCAAATGAGATAAATGTTATATAAACTCTACCGAAGAAGCAAAATTTAATTTAAATTTAAATCGGGAATTATTATATTTTCCATATTAAGGCTGAATACATTAATTTGAACATTGCTCAGGTATACTTGAGATCACATTTCCAAGCAATTTTACAAATATATAACTCACACAGTGTACGACATATTCCTAATAAGGCTTGTTAGAAAAGCGAAAATCATTATATAATGTATAGTATATTGGAGTGGGCGTAATTCGGATATATGGTATAAGGCCAACCGGAAGTTTAAAAATTTTATATTAGGTATTATATATTGGGTCTACGGAATGGAGTAACCCGTTTGATCTATGTTTGGCAATAGTATTAACATGCCACGTACTAATAAATTGCTCCCTAGGTTTTATTAAGGTATCATCACCGTATCATCACCAATATACATATGGTATGTACAAGTATATGGAGTAAAGTCAGCCGGATATTGATATTAGTTATATGGGAGTTAGGACATGTTTTCAACCGATTTTATTCATTTAAGACACAAATATAAACACGTTCTCTCGTTTTCCCTAAGCTAATCAATTGGATCAATTGGAAGTTCGAAAATTTTCAAATTAGGTATATAGGGGCTAAGAGAAGTATTGACCCAATTCAATCCAGTTTTGACACAAGAGTATAGTACTACCAAAGAAACATTCTTCCCGTATTCTGAAAAAAAATATCCCACAGATTGACCGATAGTTTCTATAAAATGTTTGCTGTAGGGGTCCCCATATTCGATGTGTGGTTGTTTGAACAGTTGTTTGACTATTTTTGGACATAAGGTGGTATAGCGCACTATTCAGATAAAATTTTATCCCACTACATTCCTTGGTGCTTGATTTGCATACTGGAAATAAGATATCCAAATAGCTGCACAAATTTGAATGATGAGACGGAAGTCCAACTAAAAAATAGCACTTGTTGTTCAAAAAAATCTATACAGAGGTCAACCAGACCAACGAAATACATTATAATTGGTGGATGGGGATAAAGAATATTTGCTGTCGGGTCATTAAGTGTCGAAAGCATGCTAACTAACGTACGTGGTTCCGTATAATTAAAATCTTTTCGAAGTATCTATTTGTGCAATCATGCGAGTAGTGCATCTTAATGAATTCCAAAGGATAGATGGTGTAGAAGAACAGTAATTTGGGAGAAGGGGTGTACCGAGTAACTGTATTAATACTTGTATATTTCTAAAAGAGAGTTGATATTTTTACCACTTGCAGATCATATTATGAGCTTTGCTCATGGCCTTGGTATCGGATGGGTGTCACCCACGGTGCAAATCATACAATCGCCTCAGACACCGTTAAGTTTTCCCGTAACCGTAGAGCAGGTATCATGGATTGGTTCACTCTTCGGTTTCGGCTTTTTGAGTGGAAATATTATGTTTGGCCTCACTGTCAATCGCTTAAGTCGCAAATTGAATATGTATTTATTGGCGTTCCCTCATATGGTGAGTATCTCTATACAGTTACGCAAGTGATGGATTGTAATATGTTTGTTTTCAGCTTTTTTGGATCTTAAACTATTTTGTACAAAACGTAGAGTATCTCTATGCAGGACGCTTCTTCGCCGGTGTCACCAGTGGCGGTTTGTTCGTTATAGCGCCGATTTTCCTTAGTGAAATCCTAGATAAAAAGTGAGTGTGTCAATTTTGAAATAGATATGAAAAAAAATTATATTTTGAATTCTGCCCAAAATTTATACAGCATTCGTGGCGCACTCATGTCCATGGGCATGATGTTTCTTAGTTGCGGTGTATTAATTGGCTTTATACTACCCACAAAAGTCGACTACTATTTAACACCGTGTATTGCGGTGGCGCTACCCATAATTTACGTTGTAGTGTTTTGCTTCTTCCCGGAAACACCACAAAGCCTCCTGAAGAGTGGCCGTCTGTCTGAAGCGGAGGCAGCTTTCAATTTCTACAAAGGCATTAACAATGAAATTAAGCCGCAGATGAGCAGGAGCGTTGAAGAATCGAAAACAGCACGGGAAGTGCAAAGCGAATTCGAAGAGTTGAAAACGATCATTTTAACAGGAAACGCGAACGTGCCTGTTAAAATAGATGACTTTTGTAGGTGTTGAAGTACTTTTGAATTTTAAAGGCGTATGCATCTAATTTGATTTTGTTACAGTTGAAAGGTCAGCACTCAAAGCATTTGCTGACACATTTGTGCTCTGCATACTGTATCAATTTCGGGAAGCTTCGCTTTTCTCAACTACATGACTTCAATATTTGCCGCTTCGGGCTCCACAATGGATCCATATTTCTCTACCACAATTGTGGGCGTATCGCATATATGTGGTACGTTTTTCGCCACCGTTTTCGTGGAGCGATTTGGTAGAAGAGCTCTGTTGTTTTCTTCCACGACTGCTATGATTCTTGGCATGTTCGGGTTCGGCGCTTTTGTACAGTTAACCGATGCGACCACGAAAGCTCAATATGATTGGGCACCACTTATTTTTATGGTTGCAGTGGTTTTCACTTCGGCGTATGGACTTTTTGGAAACTTCTTCACCATGGTGGTGGAAATATTGCCGGCGAAGGTATTTTAATATAGGAGTATATAACTTTTTATTACTTATTATCAAATTAAGCCTACATTCTGTGAACATGCATTTTAATGGACTTACGATTGCATTTGTTTCAATTATCGTTTCCATTTTCAGATCCGTACCCAGGCCTTATCGATTTCGATGTGTTTTGTAAGCCTGTTAGTGTTCGTGATCCTGAAGTTATACCCATATTTTCTTTTCGAATTGGGTATTCCCACCACAATGTATACATCTGGGACAATATCTGTTGTTACCACCATATATTTGTATTTATTGCTGCCAGAAACGAAAGGAAAATCAATGGACACAGACTAAAAACTAATATACAAATTGGGCTTTGTAAAATACTCCAACAAAATGAAATAATTAAACAGTATTAAAAACTTGTTAAAATATATGGTTTAATGGTTCTTTTATATATATAAAAGTTAAATTAATAGCTTTTTAATTGCAATATAGGTATATTACACATATGGTTTAAAGTGAGTTTATAACGAATTGTTGAAATCAACATGACTTGAAGTTTGTGTCTTCATCTGATCACCAGAGGATCGGATATATGTACATTTATTGTCGTAATATGTAGAGAAATAAGCAGAGAAACAACCCGTTTTCCAAATTAAAATTTTCATATTTTAATACGCTCTAGACTATCGATTAAAAAATGCAGAACAGTAATATTCTTATATTGCTAAATAAGAAGTAACTAAGATACAATAGTGTAATGACATAATTCGGCATGCAGATTTCAGATCTACGATGATCTCGAGGAATGAGATTGTATCGTCTAGCACTTTATCCCTACTCTAATTCCAATAATCGGAAACCCCATGACCAATGAATAATTTTGTCTTATATAACTCTTTTCGATTCTATACCTACTCGCTATATTTCTCTTATCAAGAAAAACATTTCAATAACTTATTGCCATTTTAAAAGTAAGTTCACTATGCCTCTCTCATAGAAGCCTTTCCTATTAGCAAAAAATTGAGATAATTGATTTTCACAAGTTTCTCTTCAACCGACTTCTTCACCAGCAAAATTGTTCGCCATGGACAGGAACAGATGGTAATCACTTGGTGCCAGGTCCGGAATATAAGGTGAATGCATAAGAACCTCTCAACCAAGCTTCCGGAGCTTCTGGCGAGTCACTATCGATGTGTGTGGCCTGGCGTTGTTTTGATGGAACACAATTCCTCTATTATTGACCAAAGCTGGCTTCTTCTGGGTGATTAATTCGTTCAGACAGTCCAATTGCTGACAGTACAGTTCCGAGTTAAGAGTTGCCGTATGGGAGCAGCTCATAGTAGATAATTCTCTGCCACCCACCAAACACACAGCAAAACCTTCCTGGCCGTCAATCCTGGCTTAGCCAACGTTTCCGCCGACTCACCACGTTTCGACCACGACCGTTTTCGCTTGCGGTTGTCGTAAGTGATCGGTCGATTTTGTTCCGATTTAGCAGCGATTCGCAGATGGGAATTCGGTCCATGAAGTTTTTTTGCGTTAACTCGTGTGGCGCCCATACATGTAACTTATTTTATTATTCAGTCTTATTCAAAGGATTCCAAATGGTTTTTATTCACTCGTTAGCTCTTGTGCAATCGAATCAGTGCTTACATGATGGAACTCGACAATGTCCATGATTTTATCGACATTTTGTAACTATTTCACAACATATTTTTATTTCAAGAACAGCTCTTCTGGATCCTGAACTATTTCGCACAGAGTGTCGAGTATCTCTACGCATCGCGTTTCTTTGCAGGGCTAACCAGCGGCGGCCTCTATGTGATTGGGCCTGTCTTTATTAGTGAGATTTCAGCTAAAGAGTAAGTAAACAAATGTATATGTTCGTGTGTTTGTAAAAGTGAACTTACCGAGTATGGGCCGATGTATGTTTGTATGTATGTAGCTTTGTGTGAATATAAAGGGTTTTCCAATAAGAGTTATATGATTATGAAAAAAAAACGCACACACTAATTGTTAAGGACATTCAAAAGTTTTTTATTTAATGTGAAGTACAATCGATTCAATTAAATTTTGAATATAACATCATTCAAATAGTATCCACGACTTCTTTGCAGCAACGAATTCGTTGAACCCAATTTTCGAGTACTTTTTCCACTAAATCAAGTCGTATGTCATGACAAGAACTTTCTTCCAACTTTTCTTCGGTTGTTATCCGTGTTATGTGGCACGTAGCCTCGTCTTATTGAAACTACAATATATGTTGTGAAGACCAACTTCTTCAAATTGCGGCCATAAAAAGTCATCGACGAATAGCGAGCACAGGTAATTGGAGAACGATTAATTTGTAAACGTTGTTCTTGAGAATATCTTTCAATGATCAAATTGTAAACATTACTGAATACAATGAAAAAAAATTACAGATCATAACATATTGAAAATGGTCGAAACAACACTTAGAAATCATATCATCCCTATCCTATTGGAAAACCCGATATATTTGCTTATTCATTGCATTGTGAACAGCTGTTCGCCGCGATTATTATACTTTTACGGCTACCTCTTATCTAATTTTTATAGTACATGTATTAGACTTTATAATTGTTAAACAATAACAACTTATAAATTATAATATCTTGTTGTGAAAATGCTAACCAAATTTCAAATCAAAGAAAAACATGCTAATATTATACTTACACACCTCGAGCGTCGAGGGCTCAATAAGATCGCGATCGGAATATTGGTACTTTGGTAATTTTATTTTATCTTATCGCTAAGATCCTTAGATAGCTTTAATGCGTAAAAATTATAATTTGAAACGTCTCTATCGGTGTAACTCTTTAAAACTGATTCCAACACAATAAATATCTATTTACTAGAATAGTACATAGATTTTTTGAGCTTGGTGTTGCCATGTACTAAAACCTCAATTAATCCTTTAAATATAAAAATTTATTTAGACAGGATAGAACTTGTTCAAAACCAACTTCTCCTTTCTGCTTTCAGAACTTTACTTTGCAATTCTTAGTCTCTTTTTCCCGCTTATTCTATTCAGGTGTCAGTTATCTAATGCCAATCATTGGAAAATGGTTAGTGTACTCTTTAAGGATAAGCTTTTGTCATACTTATTTTGAAGTCCACTTATTCTCTTTAATCCCAGACTTCATTTTCCTTCTATGGTAACATGCAACTTTCAATATTTATTCGCGAAGTCTTGAAAACTGTTTTTTTAATTTCATGAGCCCTTGAAAAGTGTGAATGTACCATGTATATGACAGGTTTTTCCCTTCTATTACTGCATCTTTGGCATCTACTACCCTTTTTCATTTTTAGAATAAGAGCGAATGCAAATATTAATTTGTTGATACATACAAACAAAATATATCCATCTCCATTTTCTTATGGTGTTAAAAGTAACCCTCAGGTGAAAAAATTAAAATAATCTGGATCTTATTGTGTTTGTGATAGCGAAGTCCTGGCCGATTATAAATAAGTTTTTAAATAAATTAAAAACGCTCTTTTCTTTTAATTTACTTTTTTAAGTTTTATATATATGTATGTACTTATATACCTATCTGTTTGTAATTTTGTTTAATTTTATTTCAGGCAACAAGTCGGCTTTGAAGAAATTCGCGATTGCTTTTGTACTCTGCTTACAAAATCAGTTTTCGAGCAGTTTCGCTTTCGTAAACTATATGTCGCATATATTTGTTGAATCTGGTTCGACATTAGATCCACAGCAATGTACGATCTTTACGAGTGTAGTACAGATAATTGGCACACTTTTCGCATCCATCTTGGTTGAAAAGTTTGGTCGCAAAACACTAATGTTGGCTTCGACCGCTGGTATGGCGCTTGGCATGTTCGGCTTTGGTGCGTTCGTACAATTCACCGATAGTGCGACAAAAGCCGAATACAATTGGGTTCCACTAATGGCGGTTGCTTTTGTTGTAATCTCGTTGACCTTTAAAATAATTGTGGAAATACTGCTGGCAAAAGTTAGTCTGATGTGGGAGGTGGGTTATTTGAAATTATCATTATGGCTTTATCATTTTTACAGATTCGCGCTCAGGCTCAGTCGATTACAATGATGTTTTGCAGCATTATGGTTTTCATCACGCTGAAGTTGTATCCTTGGTTTCTCTTCAATCTGGGCATATCGATCCCAATGTATTCGTGCGCTAGCTCGTGTGTGATCATCGGACTTTACTTGCTTTTATTTATGCCAGAAACGAAGGGAAAATCTATGTCTAAGGATTGAGAAACTTATTTATCGTTTATGAAGTTTGTGGAGTAAGAAATAAAGACGGTTAATATTTAAATACATTACAATTAACTTAGTAGTTTTTGTTTATGTAAATTTACCCTAAACATTTTTCAAACGAAATCATATAGGTATACCATAAAAAAAAAATATAAACGTGTGCTTAAACTATGTGAGACCGTTCTGAAACATCCGTGTCGTAAACGGTGAACTCAATAAATCAAGAAATGTTTCAATAATTTTGAACATATGAAAAATGTTTTATTTATTATATTGGCTATCATACAGTATTACATATTTTTAATAACTGAAATGCAATTATTGCTGTAATTAGCTGTTCTTATAAATAATAGTCCGACGCATACCAAAAGCTTTCTCAATTAATTTATTTCAAATAAACATAGAAGCCATGAAATTTTTATAAATATACGTATTGGCAATCTGAATTGAAAATGTACCATATCCTCTCTGTAAATATTTGTAAAAAATTAGCATAGATTTGCTAAACCAACATTTAGTTTGTTCAAATAGAATTCTTCTCCTTTAACCAGCATGTTGTACTGATGAAGCGACCAGCAGTTTTGCCAATAAAAAAATCGGCAATTTGCAGATTATTTTTAAACATTATAACTAACATAATACAATTATCTGTGTAAACAATTCTTCGACACATTTCACCTTTGGAAAATCCATTTACATAAAGAGAGTATTAAAACAAACTTTCAAATAGCAGTTGCAGCAACTCAGCACGTTCGCTTTAAAAAGAAAATAATGGTTTTATGACTTAATGAAATTGTTTTTATAATCTAGCAACATGTTGCTACTAACTACTACTAAATAATAGTTTTGTTCACCTACCGGTTCTTTGTATCACCTAAACATAATCGTGTTAGATATAGGGTTATATATATGTATATAAATGGTAAGGACGATGAGAGCAGTTGAAATCGGAGTGACCGTCTTTCTGTCCGTCCATCTGTACAAGCGATAACTTAGGTAGAAATTAAGATATCCTAATAAAACTTGGTACACGTGTTCCTTGGCAAAAAGGTGAGGACGAGTTCATAGTTGGGCATAACCTGACCACGCCACGCTCATAAAACGCCATTAAACGAAAACCTATAAACTTTTTTAAAATCACAAACAGATAATGTCGGATATGTCAATTGGGATTACATATTCTTAAACTAATGACCAAACAACCTGTGTGTACATGAAGTGGACCAATCAAAAATGTACTGATGTGGCAAATTCTAAAACCAAACATTTTCCAGGGTTGGTTGAAGAAATGAGAGGCACGTTAATTTAATCATTGCCTACTAAAGGAAGGATAGCTATGAAGTAAGGCAAACTTGATGTACCGCCTGAATACAAATACAACAGTTGCAACAAGTGGCTTGACCGATCGGAACTAAATTTCTATTCCAATGTTGTCTTCTTAGTATATCTTTGAAAAAGGACAAACATGTATTATTATATCCATCAAAGTGAGCTAGTATTGAATATAAGTAAACTAGTAAGAATTGTTTATAAATTATCCTTAAAATCCCTAACATTGTCAAAATTGTTATTTTTAGTTCGTATTTTATCTAGCTACTTCTTGATCAAAAACTTGGAATAATTGTATTGTTTTTATACTCTCGTAACATGTTGCAACATAATGTGATGGGTTTCTTCACCTAATGGGTGTTCGTAACAGCTAAAACTATCCAGATAGATAGAGAGTTATATATCCCTATATATACCAATGAGATCAAGGCGAATTCCGTCTGTACGTCCATCTGTCAGACAGTCTATCCGTCAGTGCAAGCTATAACTTGAGTAAAAATTGATACATACTAGCACTATATGCTAATTGGTATTGGCTCTATCAGACTCCATCGACGACCTATATTAATCATTAGTTAATAAGATACCAAATCCATTGTAACCCATTTGGTTTATTCGAAAAATGAATACTAAATTGTAATGCAAAATTTTTTAATAAATATTAAGTTTTGTTAATGTCTGAAAGAATTTCCCCGGCTTTGATCCTTACAGTTGCGTTTGGTTACATCAGAACTTAGCCCTTTCTTACTTGTTTAAGATGACTATTGTTCAAAAATCCATACATTGTAATTTTTTTGGAATCACTCCGAGTTAATTGCGACACATTTTATAGGAGGTACAAAAACATATGTATGTTTATATAGTCATTCAAATTACTCATGGATATACTTGTAGTTATAAAAAATATGTGGATATGAGGTTATGCACCTTTTCAATGAAACACATACTAATCTTTCACTTAACTTTCTACAAACATTTTTCTAATCTTGTGCAGTCGATACTCACAGAATATTTTATGAGCTCATTAAAAAGTAATTTAGATTAGAATAAACACATTTTATTTACCCCTATTTAAGGTATTGTTTTCTAAAAAATATATTATATATTGTATTGTATATCTGTGTTTTGTTATTGCACAGATTGCACAAAACTTTAAACTGTTTTGGTAGAATTTCGGTGATAGGTATATTGGTTCCGAAATCCAAAGATTCCAAGGAATGTTGTTATTAATACCTGCAAATGTTGCTAGGTGTTCTCATGTTAGTAATTCGCCGACCATTGAAAATAATATCTAAATTCGGTTGAGATCGAACATTTTCTACTTTTACAAATTTCGAAGCTTAAATTCAAATTCAATACCTTAAAATCCATTAGAAGTTGAAAGTTGCCTTTTGATGGCTTTCTCTATTTGTCAGTTGGTATCAAATTTCATTTTATGAAAAGGAGGACAAACTCGATGAATATAACTGGTGTTTTTTAGACTTGATATAGTTCGCGCGACGCATCGCAACAAAATTTTGCTTAGCGATAAAGTTTAATTTTAGTTAAATGGGTTGGTTAATAATCAAAGTTATCGCATTTGGAGTAACACAAACCATCTAGGGACGGCATTACATTCACAAAAACTCATTGGTCCACAATTCTTCAAAAATGAAGCCGGTCATAATATTTTAGTCAGTGGGGAATGCAATAGAGAAATGATTAATGACTTTTTCTTGCTTGAATTGGAGAATGTTGATGTGGACGACCTTTAGTTCCGATAAGATGACGTCACAGGCCATAAAGCCAACGAAATAATCAATTTGTTGAAGGAAACTGAAATTTTGCTTAGCGTAATATCTCGCGTCGTGCACCTGTGGCGTGGCCGAGACGATAGAGGTCTTGGAAGGAGAATATTCGGCGCCTTATTGCTGACGTATGGCCAGAATTGCGGCAAAAAGTGATCGAAAATTTTACTTTTGCATTTATTCAAGCCAGCCTCCTATGTCACTTGCAAGGAATAATTTTTAAAACATTATGGCAAACCCGTATAAATTTTTTATTAATTATTTATAATCAAGCTAAAACCTAAAAAAAACACACACATTTTAGCAAGCAAACTCGCTCCAATGTCCTTCTTGTTTCTACATTGATAAGATCACTATTGTGACTGAAAAAGCTAATGATGATGAAAAATAATATATTTAAAAGGATTGCGATTGTGTATTAATACCTAAAATTGTTGTGATTAGAGGTTTTTAAATAACGGCAACTATGTACGAGTACTAAACATCTGAAGGAATGTCTTGAATAGTAAAAGGAAGTCGTAAAAGACAGCCCAGAAAAAATGAACGGGATAGATCTACTTCTGAATGTTTATGTGTTCAGACCATGGCTGAAAATGCTGACAATATTTCTCCATGTTAGCTAGAACTGAATTTTCGGTAAGCTTAAGTACATACTTGTATGTGCTTATTTGCATGTGCGTACCCTTCTGCTTGTGCAAATATCGCAAATAAAAGTTTAAAATGTTAAGCATAAAGCTAAACAAGGCTATAATTTTGTATAAAACGAGCGTAAAAAAGCCGACATTGCTGACAGTTGTGGATATTGACTTATGGCAGATGTACCACTTGGAGGTTGAGTGCAGTGTTGAATATATTTTTTGGTGTTAAAGCAGTGGATTTCGAGTGTCTGTGAAACTTTTTACTTCTTAAATAAAATTAATAATTGATAGCAAGATAAATGACGAGCCCGAAAGGTTTATCGATTTGGAGCAAACGCTATCGTATGCAAATACTTGTTACGATTGTGGGTGAGTACAAAATTAAACCTGGCGAAGTGATGAAAAACTCAACTGAGAGATGTTTGTAGTAGTAGTTTGTAGAAGTTTGTAGCAAACAAGCGTGATGAGCTGAGTTGATTTAGCCATGTCCGTCTGTCTGTCTATCTATATATATACGAGCTAGTCTCTCCGTTTTCAAGCTATCGATCTGAAATTTTGCACCTGTCCTTTCCTCACAAAGAAACTGCTCACTGGCAGGGCTTAATATTTAAGGCAATAATTCAATCTCCGAAGAAATTGTTCAGATCAGATCACTATATCATATAGCAGCCACACATTGAACGATCGAAATCAGTTTCTTGTAAGGACTCTTTATATTTGTGAAGGGTATTTTAGCTTCGGTGCAAACAAAACTAACGTTATTTCTTGTTTTTAATTTATATTGACACAGGGAAAAATCTAAGTAAAATATATTTCAGATTATCCGTTCAGAATATAATATGTTAGGGTTGGGAAATATTTCGTAATATTGTGTCCAACTTTCAGTATATTTGGAAGGAAACACCAATAACTTCCTGAGACATTTTTACGGCAGACGTTGTCATGCAAGTAAAATCAACCCCGTTAGAGTCAGATCAGAGGACCTTGACGGTTGTATATACTAATTATAGTCAATGAAGCACCTGTATTTTGTTTACTGTTTAATTATCGTTTATTTGTCTTTAAAAATGTCATAATCTGTTGATAACGTAGAAAAGAACTATGGGATAAAAGCAGAGTTCTTTCATTGTATCGTTTGTTCATTCACAGTCGCCGGTATAAATATTAAAATTATTTATTGTAATTGTTGCACTGTTAAATATTTTTTAAGTATCCAACAATAATTTAATAAATTTATCTTTTAAGCTAATATTATAACCTTTACTCATGGTATCAGTTTGGG